CACACACAACCCAACACGCACCCACACACAGCGCCACACACACCCACACACAGCGCCACACACACGACCCAACACACGCCCACACACAGTGCCACACGCACTCACACACGACCCAACACACGCCCACACACAGCGTCACACGCACTCACACACAGCGCCACACGCACCCACACATGACCCAACACACACACACAGTGCCACACGCACTCACACACAGCGCCACACGCACACACACACGACCCAACACACGGCCGCAGGACACAGGGCGCACAAGCCCGTGTGCTCACACCGGACTACCACACGCTCATCCCTGGTACCAGCCCACCCTGCACACAACGGCGACGCAGGCGGGCCGCTGCAGCTCTTGCCGCCGCCTGCCCCCGCTGCGGCTCCCTGCAGCAAACGCCTGCCAACACCGGCTTCGGCTTCGTCTTTCCAGGGCCTGACAAGCGGGCTGGGCTCTCCTTCCTGCTTCCTCAGGAGCCGTGTTTGAGAATGAGGTCGGCTCAGGGTGCTCATCGCCGCGGTCCACGCACACAGCGGGCTGGGCGGGTGCGGGCGCGCCTCCTACACGCGTCTGTCCACGCGAGTACCGCTCACCACGCGGACCGTCTGCAAGCCTCCTCCTCACAGCGCAGACCGCTGCCGCCCGGCACGTGGCCGGCCGGGCGGGACCCGGACACCGCTCCCTTCCCGCGGTAGCACCCGCAGCCCTTCCGACCGCCCCGCCCCGCCCCGAGGGTGCCGTCGTCGTCAGCACCAGCAAGATGGACGCGGGGCCGGGATCCTGCGCACGCGCACAGCCGCCAGCGCGCCGCGCGCATGCTCACAGGCGCCGCCCGCCCGCCTCCTCCTCGCCGCCGTCCCGCGTGTCGGGGAGGCCGAAGGGCCAGGCTGGGCTGTGGAGCGGCCCGGGCGCGCCTGCCAGCTGCCGGGACACACGCCTGTGGCTGCCGTGGTATCGCGGACGCCCGGGGCCCGCACCCCGCGCGCCTGTGGCGGCGGCCGACGCGGGAGACCTCGGCCCCCGGTGGGAGCCGGACGCCCGGGCCTCTCGCACACGGAGGGGGCCTGGCCGGTTCTCGTCGGCGGTGCTGTGGTGGGATGAGCTCGTATGTGACCACACCGCGAGTGACGCCACAGACCGGACGCGGAAGCGGCCCCGCGCGGTCGCAGGCGTGGGAGTGGGTGCAGGGCGAGCCCCCCCCCCCCGACTCCACGGCATGACCCCCAGGCAGCCCCGCGTGGTCGCAGGCGTGGGAGTGGGCGTGGGGCGAGCCCCCCCCCCCGACTCCACGGCATGACCCCCAGGCAGCCCCGCGTGGTCGCAGGCGTGGGGCGAGCCCCCCCCCCGACTCCACGGCATGACCCCCAGGCAGCCCCGCGCGGTCGCAGGCGTGGGAGTGGGTGCGGGGCGAGCCCCCCGCCCCGACTCCACGGCATGACCCCCAGGCAGCCCTGCGCGGTCGCAGGCGTGGGAGTGGGTGCGGGGCGAGCCCCCCGCCCCGACTCCACGGCATGACCCCCCCAGGCAGCCCCGCGCGGTGGCAGGAGTGGGAGTGGGTGTGCGGACCCTGCCCACGTGGGAGCAGGGTCTGCCCAGCCCCACCGGAACGTGGCCTGCCTCAGCCCCTTATTTTTATCCCTCTCATCGGAATAAGCCAGCGCCACGGGGCCTGCTATTTTTAGAAGCAGAGAATGGGACAGTGGAGGGGCTGAGTGACAACAGTCACAGTTTAATAAAACATGACCCTGCTGTCACGCGGGACCGTCAGCCATTAAAACAGAATAATTTCCCTGCCGTAGCGCCTGCTTCCTTATTTAGCCCGAATACTCCGAATGATGCCAGCGCGCTGTGGGGAGACTCCCGCGGCCACAGTGGCCTGGGCTGGCTGGCCGCGAGTCCAACAGGTTTGTCCCTCCGGCCGCCAGCCACGCGTGCCTGGGGGTGTGAGCTTTCAGGGCCACTGGGTCCAGGTCAGCAGTCGGCACTGGTATCGTTACAACCCTGGCACGCGTCTCACCTGGCTCGCACAGGAAGATGCCCCCCGATTCATAAAACTGCATTCCAACAGAATCAGCCGCTGAGAAACCGAAAACGGAGGAAGTGGACCCGAGTGTGGGTCCTGTGGCTCGCAGCAGAGAAGCAGAGCTCTCCCCGCAGCTGCCTGCGTGGGAGCCCGGCGTCCCTGACAGAGGACAGCCAGCGGCCAGTGCTGCTGTCAGGGCTGAGCCCGTGGGGTCACTGGCGCCCCACAGGACACAGAGGCCCAGCTCCGACCAGGCTCCAGCCCAGGGTCCCACCACTGGGTGCCTGTTTCACTCACAGGTGTGGACGGCACCAGACACTGGGTTTCAGGCAAGATGCTGGCCATCCAGGAGGCCACAGCAATGCCAGAGACCACGGTTCTGTGTGCACGGGACATGAAGCTGCTTCTGCTTAGGGGCTCCTGGGGCTGGGACCTAGGGCTCCTGGGGCTGGGACCTAGGGCTCCTGGGGCTGGGACCTAGGGCTCCTGGGGCTGGGACTGACCAGCACTGCCTCAGGTGTGTCCACCCTGAAGCGTGAGAGTGAGAAAATGCAGGGGTGAGAGGGCGTGGGGTCACACAGCTCGGCAGCAGCCACACAGGGAGAGACCAGTGAGGCTGAGAGGGCAGAGTGCCTGGGCCCTGCACCCGTGTGGGAGACCCAGAGGAAGCTCCTGGCTCCTGGCTTCAGTCCAGCCCAGCCCCAGCCACTGCAGACATTCGGGGAGTGAACCAGTGAATGGAAGATACTCTTTCTCTCTGCTTTTCAAATGTAAATAAATCTTTAATAAACACTTGCAGAGGTATTTGTTGTCAGCAAGTGACACAGGCAGAGTTAGTGAGAGAGAGAGACAGAGGGGAAGGTCTTCCTTCCGTTGGTTCACTCCCCAAATGGCCGCTACAGCTGGCACTGTGCCGATCCGAAGCCAGGAGCCAGGTGCTTCTCCTGGTCTCCCATGGGGTGCAGGGCCCAAGCACTTGGGCCGTCCTCCACTGCCCTCCCGGGCCACAGCAGAGAGCTGGCCTGGAAGAGGAGCGACCGGGACAGAATCCAGCGCCCCAACTGGGACTAGAACCCGGGAGTGACACAGTTTTTTAAGTGCTCCAAAAAATTAGTGTAAAATGGAATTGGGCACAGCGCCGGCTTCCCATATGGGCGCAGGTTCTTGCCCCGGCTGCTCCACTTCCAATCCAGCTCTGTGCTATGGCCTGAGAAAGCAGCAGCAGATGGCCCTGCACCTGCATGGAGACCCTCCCCACACTCTCAGGAGGCCCCGTCCCCCCCTCGTCCCTGGTGCTGCTCCCCTCAAGCCCCTCCCCCGCCCCGGCCCGAGCCTGCTCGCTCGGCCAGGCCACCTCTCGCACCTGGTGCAGCCTCGCTCCCACTGTGCAGCTCAAGTGGTCCTGGCTGTGCCCCCAGCCCTGGGCTGAGGCCGCCCCGAGGTGCACACACTGACGGGCGGCAGAGCCTGCTGCTGTCCTCCACGGCGTCTGAGCACAGAGTCCCAGGAGGCCTGAAGCAAGTGCGTGCCTCGGCCTCTAAGTTATTGTCAGAAATTCCTGACTCGGGAAACAAAAGGACGGAGAGCGAGGCAGGGCTGGAGGAACGCAGGCCCCTGAGACAGGGCCGTACTGACCCTGGAGTGGAAAACAAACCCAGATTGAATTTTTTATTGATTATCCAATTATTAATCTACACGGAGGCTATTCCAACACCGCACATAATGAGCGATTCATCACAGTGTATTAGGGTGCCATGGAGGTTGCATTCGGTATAAATGGCCATTAAGTTCCTTGTAATTGCACATTACTGGAGCTTTCCTTAGTTCTAAATCAAATCACGGGGCCCAGCATGTGCGCGTGCTAACTGGCTTCACGTAATGACGACGGCCCCTGGTGACTGCCCAGCGAGGCCCGCGCAGCGACCCGGCCTCACAGATGCCGCCCCCAGCTGGCCACGGGGCAGCTGCTCCTGGCCACAGCGTCCCGGGCAGGGGGCACCACATGTGAAGGGGCCTCCAGTCTCACAAGCTCCTTCCTGGGGAAAATTCTCCCACCCACGGCTGCTCCCAAGCTGCAGGCAGGGAGGCCAGGCAGCAGGGGCACCCGTAGGTTGCCATGCAGAAACAGACGAGAAGGGAGTGGCCCGGAAGTTGTGTCGGGGACAAGCCGGGCTCCCTCGGGAGGACCACTTCCCCAGGCCACTGCTCAGCCCTCATCATTCACACTGAGGGGCCGGGGATCGGCTGTGTCTCGGGTTGCACAGGCCTCCCTCGCCCAGGACAAAGGAATCCTGAGTGTTAGCAGGCTTCTTGAGTCAGCACTAATAAAGATGCATATTTGGGGGGCACAGGGTCAGGGTAATCGGGGAGCCATCTTCCCTCCACCTCTCCCACGAGTTTCAACAGGACCTGGAGGCTGGGCACTGTCTGGGTCTCATGGGACGCCCTCCTGGGCGGCCCTGCACTCTCCGTTTGGAAAACGGGTTGCTAGTTCCTTCTCTGAAGAAGGCGTCAGGAAAGTCCCAGGTGCAGGGAACGCGGTGCTTAGTGACCGGTGTCCAGGGGAGAACACGGTGCTTAGTGACCGGTGTCCAGGGGAGAACACAGAGCTTAGTGACCGGTGTCCAGGGGAGAACACAGTGCTTAGTGACCGGTGTCCAGGGGAGAACACGGTGCTTAGTGACCGGTGTCCAGGGGAGAACATGGTGCTTAGTGACCAGTACCCAGGGGAGAACACGGTGCTTAGTGACCGGTGTCCAGGGGAGAACACAGAGCTTAGTGACCGGTGCCCAGGGGAGAAGGTGGTGCTTAGTGACCGGTGTCCAGGAGAGAACACAGAGTTTAGTGACCGGTGTCCAGAGGAGAAGGTGGTACTTAGTGACCGGTGCCCAGGGGAGAACATGGTGCTTAGTGACCAGTGTCCAGGGGAGAACACGGAGCTTAGTGACCGGTGTCCATGGAGAAGGCGGTGCTTAGTGACCGGTGTCCAGCGCAGGGGCCACTGCAGACTGAGGGCCGAGGCTGACCTCGGAGGGAAGCAGCGCAGGTCAGTGTTGTGGGGGTGCAGAGGGCTCCTTCCCTGCCCAGCTTCACACGGGGAAGAAAGGCGCCCTGGCCGGCGTTCTGGTGCCGTGGCTAAGCCACCCCCTGCAGCCCCCAGCAGCCCGTCTGGGCGTTGGGTGGGTCCCTGATGGCTGGGAAAGCAGTGGAAGATGGCACACGTGCTGGGGCCCCCGCACCCGTGTGGAGACCTGGATGAAGCTCCGGGCTCCTGGCTTTGGCCTGGCCCAGCCCCAGCCATCGTACCATGAGGAGTGAACCAGCAGATGGAAGACCCCTCCCTCCCTCTCTCTCTCTCTCTCTCTCTCTCTGCCGTTCGAATAAATACATATTTTATAAAATCAAGGGGAAAGTGCTCGCATGTGTGATGAAGACTGGACGTTGACGAGATTGTTCTGTGAACGCAGCTGCTGGGCCACCGGCACTGAGACCCCAGGATCGCTGAGGGCGGTGTCTGGGCCACAGAGGGAGACAGAGGCCCCTGTCCCTGCACCCCGGCAGGGAGGAGCCAGGTGCACCACGGGTCTCCGTGAACCGCGCCATCTCCGAGGGTTTGCGGGCAGCAACGCCCAGTCCCAAAGGTCGCAGAGAGAATGTGGGAGCTGGGGTCAAGTTACGATGTGTGGTGGACTCTGGCATATTCAGGAGCCAAAGGCCATGACCCCGCTGCCAGCCTGGCCTGACGGAGAATGAGGAACAGGAAGTGGCCTGTCCAGGCATCGAGCCCCGCGCACCCGTGGCATCAGTGAACCACGGTTTCCACGCGCCCCTGCTGCCCTCGGATCCTGCTGCTCGTGACAGGAAGCTGCGCCAGGACGGAGCTGGCCGAGCACAAAGGACACGCCCCTTGCATCCCAGTGAGAAGCATCGGAGCTGACATGCTGATGGGAGACAGCAAGGAGAGGGGAAACAGCGAGGCAGAGAGCGAGCAGCTCAGTACCACACCGGCGTCTGCACGCTGACACGATGGCAGGTTTGTGCTGGTAGCCTGGGCTGGCTGGCCGGCATTTCGGAGCTCTTTTCTTAACTAGAATGCACGAGCCCCCCCACCCCCCACCGGCCACCCTGTCCTTCCAGTGGGGCCTGTAGACGGCGGGCGAGGCCCTGCAGAACCCCAGGGACCCCGCTGCTTCCTCGCCGGCCGTGCCGGGTCTGCGTCTCGCTCCCTCCTACCACCAGCACCTCCTCTGCCAAGACGAAGTGACTGCCCCGCCGGGCGTCTGGGACTCCCTGGAGACAACCTGAAACCCACCAGAACCACGGACGCTCGCTTGCACGGAGCCGCTTACTACAGTGTCAACAGCAGTGCCATCTTGTACAGCCGAGCTTCCTAATCCGAGTGACACACGGCCGCCTACAGCTGCTGGCAGCGCTGCCGTGGACACAGAGGAAAGGGGGCAGAACTGCGGGGCAGAACGCCGAGAAAGCAGGGAGGCAGCCAAGAGCAGCAGACACGGCACAGCCGCCTCGCCACGCTCAGCCGGGCCGGTACCGAGGGCCTGGGCCAGAGTGTGTCCTCCCACCCTGACGCTCACTGGCTGGCTAGGCTGTGGGGAAGGAGAGTGCCCCGAGACGTCCTGTCCCTTGTCACTGGGGGAGCAGGCACCCGGTGGGGGCGGCGGCTCAGAGCTGAGCAGCTTCCCTGCCAGCACCTGGCACAGGATGCCCTCAGGCCCTAGGCTGCCACCAGCCTCCGACATGGCCGTGCTGGGGCAGCTCCCAGCTTCGTGAACCTCGCCTGACGTCACCCAGGCTAAGCTGAAACCAATCCTCTTAACCGGTGGGCACGGGGAGCAAGAGCCTCCGGCACACACCGGCCGTACCTGTAGGACGTCCACCCTGAGGTCGGCCCGGTCCCTCCAGGGCTGTGAGCCTTGCTGTTCTCCAGGCCCTGCGAATCTGGGAGGGCTGATAGGCCCGGCTGGGCGTGGGGACGGGCAGGGTCCCTGGGCACAGTGACCAGTGACGCATCCTGCTCTGCGGGGGCCCCGGGTTCCGGCAGATAACCCCGGGGAGGGGGCCTGGCAGCCTGGCCCATTGTCCTGCAAATCGGGCTGTGATTAGTTAGGGTCCCCAGGGCCTGATAAGGTTGAGTTCAAGGGAGGAATACAGCCCTTGGTCCCTTAATTCGTGTGAACCTCGAGGCTTTGATCTGGACGGAAGGAAGAGCCCTGCTCCAGAGTCAGTGCAGAGAGAAGGGGGCGGCGCTGCTCCCAGCTGAACAGGAACAGCCGGGCTGTGCAGACGTTACTCCCTTGGTTCTGCGCACAAATGCAATCAGAATTTTCTCCCGATGCCCATGCAGCAGCTGGCCCAAGGTGGGTGGACCACGCCCTGGCCTTGGAAGCCGCCCTCTCTGCTGACGTCCGTCCCCAGCGTGCGTCTGTGCAACTGCCAGCCGCCCTGCGCAGAGGCAAGATGGACGGTGACGGAGTGGTTCCCTCCGGCTGGGTGGGACCAGACCAGCGCCGTGTCCCTGGGGACCAGGGAGAGGTCTGCGCAGGAGACCTCGTGGACTTAGGTCTCTGCCGAGGGCCACGGCCGGTGTGGCTTCAAGCCTGGCTATGTTTACAGAAAGGGCCCAAAGCGTCCCACTGCTGACACATGTGCCCCAAAGCTGCCGCTCCTCCTGTAACTCAGCCCCCTGGAGGCGCGGCACACGACACAGGACCCACCACTCCCGGGCACGATCTAGGGACGCGCTGATAAGTTCCCCACCTGTGCAGCCACCACCAGACGGTTCCAGAACATTCTGGCACCTGGAAGCGCCCTGGTGCCCACTCGCAGCCGACGGTGCCCCTGCGTTCCACGTAAATGAGACACAGCGTCCGTGGCCCGTCTGCCCACACCGTGGGGCCCCAGTGCCCAGCCGTCGTGAGGCACGCACTCGCTGCTCCTGGGGAGGTGTCTGGGAGGGGAACTGACCGCTCGGGCAGCAAATCGGCGCGAGCTCGAGAGGCTGCGGAGGTGGTTGTGCCCGTGCCCGGCGCTGCCGGCCGCTGCCAGGGCCTCCGGGGCCTCCGGGGTCTCCCAGAGGCTGCCCCAGGGCACCGTGATTTCTTCTCGCAGTGCTGAGCGCCTCTCCACTGACTTTTCTTCCACTCAGGTTTTCTTTGGAGTTTTCTATTAAATCTTCTGCCTGTTTTTACACAAAAGTCAGGTTTGGAGTATGCTTCTTTATCTATTACTGAACGGCAAATGTTCTTTTTAAGAATGTATTCTGGGGGCCGGCGCTGTGGTGTAGCGGGTAAAGCCGCCGCCTACGGTGCCGGCATCCCACAGGGCGCCAGTACGAGTCCCGGCTGCCCCTCTTCCAGCCCAGCTCCCTGCTGTGGCCCGGGAGGGCAGTGGAGGATGGCCCAGAGCTTAGCCCTGCACCACGTGGGAGACCAGGAGAAGCTCCTGGCTTTGGATTGGTGCAGCTCTGGCCGTTGTAGCCATTTGGGGAGTGAACCAGCGGATGGAAGACCTTTCTCTCTCTGCCTCTATAACTCCGCCTTTCAAATAAATAAATAAATCTTAAAAAAAAGAGATTATGTTCTGGATACGCGCCCGTCATCAGATAGCTGTTCTACAATACACTCCTTCAGGTACTGTTTGCTGTTTCATTTTCTTAAAGGTATCTTTTGAAGCACAAAAAACTGAATTTTGATGATATTCAGTTTATCAAATTTTTATTTCATGGACTGTTTTCTTGGTGTCATATCTAAGAAATCTTTGTCTAGTCCAAGGTTTGATGATTTTCTCATTTACTGTAAAAAGTTTTATTAACTTTTACATTTAAGCCCGTGCTCAGTTGTGTGTGTCTGTACTGCTTCTGCTCCTGGATATACGCCGTCGTCTCAGCATCAGCTGTTAAATGGGCTATTCTGTACTTTGGTCAAGTGGCTTAGTACCTTTGTCAAAAATCAATTCACCGGGCAGGCGCTGTGGCGTAGTGGGTAAAGCCGCCACCTGCAGTGCTGGCATCCCATATGGGCGATGCTTCAAGACCCAGCTGCTCCAGTTCCAGTCCAGCTCTCTGCTGTGGCCTGGGAAGGCAGTGGAGGATGGCCCAAGTCCTTGCTCCCTGCACCCGTGTGGGAGACCAGGAAGAAGCCCCTGGCTCCTGGCTTCGGATCGGCGCAGCTCTGGCTGTGGCAGCCATTTGGGGAGTGAACCAGCAGATGGAAGATCTCTCTCTCTCTGTCTCTCCCTCTCTCTGTAGCTCTGTCTCTCAAATATTTTTTAAAAATCAGTTCACCATAAGCCCGGGGGTTTTCCTGGACTCTCCGGTGAGCTGCGTGTACTGTGCTGATTCCACACGGTGCTCCACGTAGCTTTCCCGTCGGGGAGTGCGAGTCCTCCAACTCTGTTCTTTGGTGGCAGGAACACTGTGGCTACTCTGGTCTTTGAATCTCCACGCCAAAGCCTGCTGGGGTTGCGCGGGGGCTGCAGTGACTGTAGACGAGGCTGGTGAAAATGAGCCGTGTGGCCTGGCTGATGCCTCTGTCCCCAACTGGGCCACTCCCCGGTGCTGAGTCCCGCACTTCTCAGTGACGTTCATTCGTATTTTACTCCTTTTAATGCTACGGAAATAGGATTTTTTCTTGACTTCATTTTTGGGTTATCCGTTGTACACAGAAAGACAGTTGGCTTCTATACTGAGCTCCTATCTCACAGCCTTGCTATACTTGTTGGTCTGTTGGTCTGTTTTAATAGTTTTTTTTTTTAACGTTTCCTGGGATTTTTTTAGGATTTTTGCGGCAAGCTCAGGCCGTGGGTCAACGAAAACAACGTTGCTCCTTCCTTTCCAACCCGGACACCTCTTTCTTGTGCCTGGCTGCGCTGGCCGGGGTGGAAGTGGACACCCCGCCCCGTGAGTGACCTGGGGAGGCCACAGGGCGACGCTCACGCCGTTCTGGTCACTGAGGAAGACGGCCTCCTCTGCCGAGATGCCCGCCAGAGGTGAGCGCGGCCCTGCAGGGCTGGGCTAAAGCCAACGGCTCTACGTCGGCTCAGCGCTGCCATTCCTTGCTGGGCTTCACGTGCAGTTTCCTGTTTTGTGCGTTTTCTGACTTCGCTGCCAGGGTCATGTGACCTCATGGGATTAGGCAGGGGGGCTCCTCTTCCTTGGCGCTCTCGGGGGCTTTGTGCAGCGCTCGGCGTGGCTCTTCTCCTTGCACTGGGTCAAGAGTCCAGAGAGCAGCTCTGCACCTGGGCTTTTCCCTTTGGGGAGACTTTAAATTATCCATCCACGGCATTGGCCTTGTGGCATAGCTGCAGCGCCGGCACCCCATATGGGGGCTGGTTCGAGTCCTGGCTGCTCCACTCCCCATCCGGCTTCCTGCTAATGGTCCAGGAAGGCAGTAGATGGTCCAAGTGCTTGGGCCCCTGCCACCCATGTGGGAGACCGGGAAGAAGCTCCTGGCTCCTGGCTGCACCCGGCCCAGCCCTAGCTGCTATGGCCACTTGTGGAGTGAAGCAGATGGAAGATCTCTCTCTCTCTCTGTCTCTCCCTGTCTCTAACTCTGCCTTTCAAATAAATGAATCTTTTAAAAAATTATAAATCCGGGCCGGCGCTGCGGCTCAATAGGCTAATCCTCCACCTGCGGTGCCAGCACCCTGGGTTCTAGTCCCGGTCACTCCTCTTCCTGTCCAGTTCTCTGCTGTGGCCTGGGAGTGCAGTGGAGGATGGCCCAAGTGCTTGGGCCCTGCACCCGCATGGGAGACCAGGAGAAGCACCTGGCTCCTGGCTTCGGATCAGCACGGTGCACCGGCCGCAGCAGCCGTTGGGGGTGGTGAACCAACGGCAAAGGAAGACCCTTCTCTCTCTCTCACTGTCTACTATGCCTGTCAAAAATAAATTAAAAAAATAAAAAATTATAAATTCTTCTCTCTGCTTGCTATGGGCCAGCGGTCCTTGTCACTCTCAGGTCAGTTTCGGTAAATGGCTCCTTCTAAGAACTTCCCGCTCTACTCTGCGTTGTCAGATCTTCCTTTCTAATCTCTTACGTTCTCTAGGAGTCCCTGTAATTCTCCTTTTCATGCCTTCTGTTGATCAAACTAATGAGAATTTTTAAGACTTGTTATTTGAAAGGCAGAACAGAAGAAAAGGAGAGACAGAGAGACAGAGGTCTCCTAGCTGCCGGCTCACTCCCCAGATGGCTGCCACAGGCCGACCTGAGCCTCGCGAAGCCGGGAGCGCCATGCTGGTCTCCCAGGGGGTGCAGGGCCCAAAGGTTCGGGCTGTCTCCTGCCGCTCTCCCAGCAGCAGTGGCAGGGAGCCGGGTCGGAAGTGGAGCAGCTGGGACTGTAACAGGCACTAGACGTTGGCTGCACCTGCCGCACCACACCACAGCCGGCGGCAGCTCTGCTGTTCCTTTCCAAGAATAATCTGCTGTTCACGGATTTTCTGCTGTTCAACTGCGTTGACTTCTGCTCTCGCCTCCTGCTTGGGTCTAGCTTCCTCCTCTTTTTCATCGTTTCTGGGGAAAACGTTGAGACGACTGATTCGAGCTTGCCCTCGTTTCTTGACAGAGAACTACGAATGCCCTAAAGCAGGGTCCTGCCCGCGCTGACCGGCCGCCGCCTCAGCTGCTTTCGGCTGGAACCTCTTGCCGCCTTCGTACGTTAAGCCATGGCTTATTTAAGAACACGGCGTTTAACTTCCAAATGTTTGTAAGTATCCTAATTTCTGTTGTTGACTCCCAATTTAATTCCATGTGATCAGAGTTGAAGTTCGCAAGCATTAAGGCCAGCTCTAGGGCAAAGCAGGAAGCGGGCCCTGGCCTCCACCCGCAAGGCCCCGCCCGTGCCCTGCCCTGCGCCCGGGATCCTCTGGGGGAGTGGGTGCTCCTCGCCCTTGCGGACTCCAGTTCTGCCCGCGCTGCGTGGTGCCTCGGGGATCCGCTATCTGCCAATCATTAGCTTTGGTTTCCCTGCCTCGCCTGAGCCGGCCACCTGGGGCCAGCACGCTCTGCTCTGCACCCCCGGCCCCGCCAGGCTCGTCCTCTGCCCGCAACAGCCCCTGCCTTTTCCTGCAGTCTCTCGTCCGCTTACACTTGGTGGATGACCGGGCTCACGCCGGGCACTCGGCTGTGTGTCGCCCACGTCCTGTGAGATTTTGTGCTGTTGCCACGCTGCCTTTGCTGCTGCATCCCTTGTGTTTCACGTACGTATTTTCTAATATAAATGCCTTATCCTTGTAGTGTCTTTACACGTTTCAGTTACACAGTATAAGTGCATACACGTGTATATGATTAATTTGAAAGTCAGAGAAAGAAAAACCTTGCATCTACTGACTCACTCCCCAGATGTCCCCAGTACCCCAGTTAGGGCTGGGTTGAAGCTTGGAGCCAGGAACTCAATCCAGGTTTCCCGCGTGGGTGACAGGAAGCTGAGCCGTCGCCTGCTGTTCCCCGGTCTGCATTGGCAGGAAGTGGGTGAGGAGCGAGAGCTGGGCTCAGCCCAGGCACTCTGCTGTGAACACAGGCAGCCCGAGGAGCACTGTGGCGGTCATGCCAGATGCCTGCTCCGCACACGCACACGCACAGATATGCTGTTTACGTTATTCCTGAAGGTTAACACACGCATCTTCCTCCGAATGATCTGTTTCATGTTGACCCTTCCCCTACCGGTGCCTGGGAGCACGGCTCTGACGCCCCCGCCCCCTCGGCGCTGCCCTCTTCGTGGGCAGTGAAGCTGGCAGCAGAGTTCTGTGGTCTTGTGCAGGTCTGGGCCTCCCTGCTGCGCTGCCTGGTCCCGCGGGGCTCCCGGGGTCTCTGGGCCAGCCCAGTAGCCCACTGTGCACCGGCCCGTCACACACGGGCTTTGTTTCTTCATCTCTCAAGGCCACCTCTGTTGGAGCCAGAACTCCGGTGCCGCCCCCAGCCCCCAGCATCGGCTTCCGACAAGAACGCAGCCACTGCGCTCACCCAGCCGTCGGGGCCGGGGTGCTTCTGCTGCTTCAACACGTGCCTGTCTGGGGTGACAGACACCTCTTCGAACTCATGCTGCCTGGAACTGGCTGACCTTTGTGTGTGCAGAGAATCATGGTTTCCACCAAATCTGCGAAGTTTTCCGACCACTATTTCTTCCAATATTCTCCTCCCTTTCTCCCCTCTCTCTAGGACTCTCCTTAATTATAGATTTTTTTTTTTTTGACAGGCAGAGTGGACAGTGAGAGAGAGAGACAGAGAGAAAGGTCTTCCTTTTGCCGTTGGTTCACCCTCCAATGGCCGCTGCGGCCGGCGTGCTGTGGCCAGCACACTGCGCTGATCTGATGGCAGGATCCAGGTGCTCCTCCTGGTCTCCCATGGGGTGCAGGGCCCAAGCACTTGGGCCATCCTCCACTGCAGTCCCGGGCCACAGCAGAGAGCTGGCCTGGAAGAGGGGCAACCGGGACAGAATCCGGTGCCCCAACCAGGACTAGAACCCGGTGTGCTGGCGCCGCAGGCGGAGGATTAGCCTAGTGAGCCGTGGCGCCGGCCTAAGTATAGATTTTTAAAAAAGATTTATTATTTGAAAGGCAGAGTTCGGGGGGGACAGGCAGAGAGGAGAGAGAGAGAGAGGGAATCTTCCATCTGCTGGTTCACTCCCCAGGTGCCTGCAATGGCAGGGGCTGAGCCAGATCAAAGCCCGGAGCCTGGAGCTTCCTCTGGGTCTCCTATGTGCGTGCAGGGGCCCAAGCACCTGAGCCATCCTCCTGTTTCCCGGGAGTATCAGCAGGGAGCTGGGCTGGAAGAGGGGCAGCCGGGGCTCGCGCTGGCGCCCGCGTGGATGCCGGCTCTGCAGGCGGCACCAGCCTCCCTACGCACTCACTCTTGTGCTCGAGACGGCGTCCCTGCTGTCCCCGCGGCTCTACTGTTTCTCTTCGCCCCCCGTTCCTCCTGTCCCACGGACTGCGTGACCCACTGAACGTCCTCTCCCCGTTCCTCCTGTCCCACGGGCTGCGTGACCCACTGAACGTCCTCTCCCTGTTCCTCCTGTCCCACGGGCTGCGTGACCCACTGAACGTCCTCTCCCCGTTCTTCTGTCCCACGGACTGCGTGACCCACTGAGCGTCCGCTCCCTGTTCCTCCTGTCCCACGGACTGCGTGACCCACTGAGCGTCCGCTCCCCGTTCCTCCTGTCCCACGGACTGCGTGACCCACTGAACGTCCGCTCCCCGTTCCTCCTGTCCCACGGACTGCGTGACCCACTGAGCGTCCTCTCCCCGTTCCTCCTGTCCCATGGACTGCGTGACCCACTGAACGTCCGCTCCCCGTTCCTCCTGTCCCACGGACTGCGTGACCCACTGAACGTCCTCTCCCCGTTCCTCCTGTCCCACGGACTGCGTGACCCACTGAACGTCCTCTCCCCGTTCCTCCTGTCCCACGGACTGCGTGACCCACTGAACGTCCGCTCCCTGTTCCTCCTGTCCCACGGACTGCGTGACCCACTGAACGTCCTCTCCCCGTTCCTCCTGTCCCACGGACTGCGTGACCCACTGAGCGTCCGCTCCCTGTTCCTCCTGTCCCACGGACTGCGTGACCCACTGAGCGTCCGCTCCCCGTTCCTCCTGTCCCACGGACTGCGTGACCCACTGAGCGTCCGCTCCCCGTTCTTCTGTCCCACGGACTGCGTGACCCACTGAACGTCCTCTCCCCGTTCTTCCTGTCCCAGGGGCTGCGTGACCCACTGAGCGTCCTTCAAGGCACCTGGCTCTCCTCCGCCAACTCTACTGCGCAGGCACACTTTCTGGCTGCAGAACTTCTATCTGGCTCTTCAAAAACACAGATTTCTACTTCTTCATGACGTTCTCCCTGGCGAGGGGTACGAGCTCTTTGGACGAGTGATGGCCGCTCTCAGGGACGCCTGTGTGGGGCCTTCTCACAGCTTGTTCAGAACGGGACAGCACACGCGGCGTCTGCACTGGGACCGACCCTCCTCAGCAGACAGCCGCCGCCGCCGCTGGTCTCCTGGCTCCCGGCTCCCCGCAGGGTGTGACCACCACGCTCCTCTTGCTGGGGCTCACCCTGGCTGGTCGGGCTTCGTGGCCCCTAATTACCAGCCGAAGGCTGCCTTACCTGCTGGAGCTGGGCGGGGAGCCCCCACGTTCCTTCAGGGAAGCCCGTGTGTCCCGGCCCGCTGGCCCTCGGCTGGTGTTGTAGGGTCTCAAGGTCAGCCAGAGGTGACTGACAGGGCCTCTTGTCCAGTCCTCAGCGGGAGCACTGCGTGTGGCCCAATCCCAGCTGCACTGAGGGCGGGGTCTTGGTGGAGCGGCTGCAGGGGCGTGGCGGGCAGGGGGCTGGGTCCACTGCGCGTCACAGAGCAGCTCCCCTCTGCCTGCCGTCCGTCTGGTCACTCTCCACATTCCAACTGGGCTGGTTTGGTGATTTCCCTGTGTTTCTGCTGCTTTCTGGGTGGTTCTCCCCCACAGTGGGCCCCAGAGTGCCCCTGGGGGGAGAACTGTTCATCAGCGGAGCCGCGACGCGGCTGCCACGGCACTGTGGAATGGAGCCGCAGGCCAGGCGGGGGTCCTGGCTGACCTTGGCATCAACGTCCTTCTGTGGAAGCCGATGCTGTGCGGGCAGATTGGCCTGGCCACGGGATTTTCCAGGGGTTGAATGTGGAAACGAGACATCGCACGTCAAAGCCACTTTGGGAAGCGGCCGCGTCAGCTGCTAACTGCTGCTCCCACTGGGTTCTCGGCTGCCGGCACGGATGTGTCAGGCTGCACTGGGCACAGCTTTCCCACCACTTCCAGCTGCCCCTGTCCCCGCCTGGGCACCACGTGCATCCACGAGTCAGGCACTCTGCTCCTCGGGACCCAGAGCCCCTGGAAGGGTCCATGCTCGGCACCGGGGCGGGCCGGCCGAGTGCTGGGTGGTGCCCAGGCCCTGGCTGCCCCTGTGGACAGAGCCCTCGCCATGTGGCCCCTCGCTGCAGGCGCCAGGCACGGAGGGCGGCCAGCAGTGGACCTGGTTTCCCACTTTCTGTCCAGGACACAGCTCAGGGAGGCGCTCCCGCGAGTGCGCATTCTCCAAGAGCAGAAGTGGGGGCGGAGGGCACAGAGCAAGCCTGCTCGCCGAGCTCCGGGAGGGAGCTGTGCCAGCCGCCGTGCAGCAGGCGAGCAGTGCTCACGGCACCCGGAGACGCAGGGCGCCGCGTGCCGCCACCTTCCACGCCTGCTCACAGGCAGCAGCAGACACGCCGCAGACCTCCACAGCAGCGCCTCTGCCGGGCCACGGAGCCCCAGCGCCTCCTCTCCAGCGCCTCTGCCAGGCCGCGGAGCCCCAGCGCCTCCTCTCCAGCGCCCGCGAGGGAGGGGACAGCTGAGGTGGCAGGCAGGTCAGCAGAGCTGAAGGCGACGCCACTGGATCCCCTTCCTTTTTTTTAAGATTTATTTATTTATTTGAAACAGAGTTACAGAGAGGCAGAGGCAGAGAGAGAGAGAGTCTTCCATCTATGGTTCACTCCCCACATGGCTGCAACGGCTGGAGCTGTGCTAATCCACAGCCAGGAGCCAGGAGCTTCTTCCGGGTCTCCCACGTGGGTGCAGGGCCCAAGGACCCGGGCCATCCTCCACAGCTTTCCCGGGCCACAGCAGAGAGCTGCACCGGAAGTGGAGCAGCCGGGACTTGAACTGGCGCCCACATGGGCTACCGGTGCTGGAATGCTCCTTCTGAATACACAAGGTTCTTGCACTCAGGGTGGGATCTGGATTAGAAATGCGAGGGCAGTTCAAGTTCATGGGGACACAGAACTAAACAGGTGAACCCAGGGCCAGCACTGCAGCCGCTAAGCTGCCGTCCGCGTGGTCGCTCTCCACGTTCCGGCTGCTCCACGCCCCGTGCCGCCCCCTGCAGGCCCAGCACCCACACTGGGCTGGATCCCAGAATCCTAGTCTTGGCCTGGCCCAGCCCCGGCCGCTGCAGCCATCTGGGGAGTGAACCAGCAGATGCAGAATCTGTCTCTCTCAATCTGTCTTTCCTTCTTTCTCTGTAATTTTTTCAAATAAAAATAAATACATCTTTTTAAACAAAGCAAGATAAGTTCATGTTGGTGCCCCTCAAAAACGAAATCCGTGCAGTTTCTTTCCTGACAGTTTCCCTTCCTCCTTGAAGGCCACTCGTGAGCGTGGACTTGGAAACCTTCTGCCCCAAAGCCGTCTTCTCTCCTTTCCCACGAGCTCCGCTAAGTGCTCGAAGCCGGTGCAGCTCCGATCACAGCTGCCGGTACTGACGACGGCCACGTGCGTGGCAGGGGCTCCGCACAGGAGCAGGGCGCTCCTGGCACACAGCCTTGCTCAGCGCCGCCTCCCAGCCCGCCCCGGCCACGATGCTCCTCTCGGGGACAGCCCCATGACTGCCGCTTGCCCTGGAGCCAGAGCCCTGCACGGGCTTTCAGCAGGTGCCCTGAGTGAGACCCTCGTGGGACCGCGTGTGGCTTTCCCACCAACACCCTCCCTGCACGGGGCCCACCCGACAGACAGCTACACAGGAGCTGGGCTGTGGCGGCCGGCGTGTGCCCGGGTGTCCCAGGGACGGGTCTGCAGCCTGCTGGTCTCCCTCGCCCACAGCCCCCCGCGTCCAGGCGGCACGCGTGGGATTTCAGGCTGATTCCCGGCCAGCCGTCGCAGCGCGGCCCTGAGGAACCACTGCACGGCTGAGCCGCCCGCCTCCCCGTCACTCGCAGCCTGTGTCGGCTACGTGAGGGCGCAGCCGCGCGTCGGCGGGGAGGCCCCGGCGTGGCGCCCTGCCAGCTCCCTAAGACTTTCCATGAGGAAACCCTTTTGTTCTCTCCCAGCGGCCTGGGCTCAGGAAAGCAGGGGCGGGCGGGAGAGCCGCGCACAGCACAGCCCAGACTGCAGCAGACGCTGCCCCCACCGCGTCTACCTGCTTGTTGTTTTAATGACATCAAAGACTGAGGGGTGCGGGGTGCTGGAGGGATCTGAAAGGCCCGATTGTGGCAGAGGCGGCGGGGGCGGGGAGGCGCCCGGGCCACGTCAGCAGCTGTGGCCATTCCCAGCACGTGCACACGGACGGGAGCCGAGCGCGCGCACGCGTGTGCGGGCTGCCAGGCCCACTGCACCCAAGTCAAGGAGCACAGTGGGCGCCCGGTCTGGTGCCCTCAGTGCGCGGCGCCTGGAAGTACCAGGGTCTTGGAAAAGAGTTCCCGCACAGCTTCCGGGCCCAGCTTCTAAAAAATCTACATTTCAAACAACCTGAGGTCCATTACACCAATGTGCTAAAAAGGTGCCTTTGTGGCTACTTCACGCTCGAGAACTCTACACGCTACCTTAGAAAGCCTACCTCTCACGAAGCAAAGCAGAGATTTTCATCCTTAAATGCATTTACAGACCAAACACTTTTTTTGAGACAGAGGGGGAGAGAGAGAGGGAGAGAGAGGGAGAGAGGGAGGGAGAGACCCAGCGAGAGAGAGGGAGGGAGGAAGAGAGAGAAAGAGGGAAGGAGAGAGGGAGGGAGGGAGGGAGAGAGGGAGAAAGGGAGGGAGTGAGAGAGGGAGAGAGGGGGAGAGAGAGGGAGAGAGTGAGAGAGGGAGAGAGGGAGGGAGAGAGGGAGGAGGGAAGGAGAGAGGGAGGGAGAGAGAGGGAGAGGGGGAGAGAGGGGGAGAGAGAGGGAGAGAGGGGGAGAGAGGGGGAGAGAGAGGGAGAGAGAGGGAGAGAGAGGGAGAGAGGGGGAGAGAGGGAGGGAGGGAGGGAGGGAGAGAGAGAGGGAGAGAGGGAAGGAGAGAGGGAGGGAGGGAGAAAGAGGGAGAGAGAGAGGGAGAGACAGGGAGAGAGAGAGAGGGAGAGAGGGAGGGAGAGAGGGAAGGAGAGAGGGAGGGAGGGAGAAAGAGGGAGAGAGGGAGGGAGAGAGGGAGAGACAGGGAGAGAGAGAGAGAGGGAGAGAGGGAGGGAGAGAGGGAAGGAGAGAGGGAGGGATAGAGAGGGAGAGAGGGAGAAAGGGAGGGAGGGAAGGAGAGAGGGAGGGAGAGAGAGGGAGAGAGAGAGAAAGGGAGGGAGAGAGCGAGACAGAGGGAGATAGAGAGATAGAGAGATAAGAGAGAGAGAGGGAGAGAGAGAGAGAGAGGGAGGGAGGGAGGGAGGGAGGGAGGGAGAGGGAGAGGGAGAGGTGCTAGAGACCCACCCACTGGCTGCCTCCCCAAATGCCCACAGCAGCCAGGCTGGGCCGGCTGGTGCTGGGAGCCGGGAGCTCCGCCCACGTGACTGACAGGGGCCCAGGCACTGGAGCCCCCTGCGCCTCCCGGCTCCGTGTCCGCAGGAGGCTGGAGTCAGGAGCCAGAGAGGAGGACGGCGCCGGGCGCTGGTGCTGGTGCGGGTGCGGGCACCTTAACCTGGGCAGGCCAGCCTGCAGACCCGGTGCTTCTGAAACCAAACCCGAGAGCACGCGTAACTGAGGAAACCAGGACATCTGAAAGCTGCCGGCGTGGGTTTTGAGATAACGGGAGTGTGGCTCAGTGCCCAGCAGCCGGAGGCAGCCTGTGGGCAGCCTGAGAGTGCACCCCACCGCGGGGGCGCCCGAGGCCGGCTGTGCGGAGCAGGACTAACCCCCTCCACCTGACTCCCAAAGCAGCACCCCCACGAGGGCCCTCAGACGCTCCTGGAACACGCGTGTGAGGAGACTGCACGGGGCAGCGGAAACCGAACTTTTCATAAGGTTTTCTGAAGAACTTTTCAAAGTTCTCTCGTGCAAACAAGTTCTTTCTCACTCCTGCTGGGCCTGGCTTTGCCCCCAAGCCCACCTCGCCGCCTGGGCCACAGGGGCAGGCCTGGCTGTCCACCTCAGCAGGCACGGCTGAGGGGCCGGGTAGGCTGCAGCACCGCCACCCTGTGTGCACCAGTCTGAGCCCCGCCCATTTCCGACCCAGCTCCCCGCTAATGCGCCTGGGACAGCAGTGGAACACGGCCAAATGCCTGGGCGCCTGCACCCCCGTGGGAGACCTGTTGGGGCTCCAGGCTCCTGCTTCAGCCTGGCCCAGCCCCGGGCGTTTGGAGAGAGAACCAGCAGATGGTGACTCTTTCAAATAAATAATTTTTAACAAAGAAAAGAAAGCACAGCTGGGAGCCACAGGGCGAGGCCAGCCGTCCACAGGGGCGCCGAGCCGCTTCTGGTCCCCGTGCACCCCCGCCTGTGGCTCTGCAGACCCCCGGTCCTGGCCAGCACCGCAGTGGGAGCGTGCAGGAGACGGCAGTGCGGTGGCGGGAGCGAGGCCCACGTTGCATCCGAGGCGCAGGGTCCGGGCCTGCACTGTCCAGGGGTGAATAAAGTCTGCCCTCCCAACGGGCACCTCGCTCCCTGCAGTGAAGGCCGGTGAGGGCGCTGACCTCGTCCCGTCTGATCCACTTGGAATGGACGCGTTTCCGGCTCCGCCTGCTGCTCCGCTTCTCTCTGGGCTCCCTCCCTGGGAGGCTGTAGCCTGGGTTCCCCGGAGCTCAGGATCTGCCCCCACCCCCCCACTGAGCTGCACCTCAGGCTACATCAATAAACAACCAGGGAGCCTGTGCGGTGGGTGGGGGTGCAGGAGGCCCCCACGGCCTCCACCTGCGTCCCGGCCGCCCTGGCCTCACCGGGACCCAGGCTGCCGAGTCATGGGCCATGGGCTTCTTGGCCACTTCTGCTCTGAGGGCGCGGGGCACACCTTACTTATTTGTGAGATGGGTGGGGCTATGGAGAGAGAGAGAGAGACACAGAGACAGAGAGAGCTCACTGGCTCCCTCCCCAAACTCCTGCCGCAGCTGGGCCCAGTGCCGGGTCTCCAGTGGCCCGGTGCCACGCGGAGTGCACAGCACAGCCAGTCTGGAGCTGGGGACTCCGCTGTGGGCTGCAGGCTTCCACGGGGTCCCACCCGGGGCTCTGTCCGGTGAATTTAAATCAACGGCAGCCACGCACAGCGCTGAAACTGGGCGCCAGCAGAGGACTGGCCACCCTTGGGCTCCTTGCCCGCCCCTCCCCCGTCAGACCTGGGTCCCCTGCCCGCAGTGCAGGTCTGTGTTCCATGCTGGGCCCTCAGGGACAGACCGGGGACCCACCTGCCCAGACGTGAGGATGGGCTCTGAGACCCGAGGACCCAGGGAGCCCAAGGTGGTCTGCAGGTGGAGGCTGCCCCCGACAAGTGCCCCCCGCAGCTCCTGCCCCTGCCCACCCCAGCAAGCCCTGCAGAGGCAGCGGCAAGGTTCACGAGCAGGGTCTCCTGCCACACGGCCCGGACGGAGCAAGAGCCAGCGGGGCTGCTGCTCGGGGGCCGGGAGGTGCACCCCACCCCTGCGGCCCGGACCCCGCGTCCCTCAGCCTCAGGTGCGCGCCCAGGAGGAGGTGGCTGCACACGGGTTTCAGCAGGCGCCCTTGTCCCCAGCCCAGCAGCGCCGAGGGTTGGGACCCCCTCAGGAACCGTCTGCCCCCGCCAGACCCGGGGAGCCCCACATCCACACGGAACTGTCAGCTGCTGCCAAGGGCCTCCACCACGACCCCAGCCCTCCACTCTGAGCGGGTGGCACAGCATTGTGACAGGAGAGCAGACGCGCAGAGGACGGCACAGACGGGTCGTTGGTCTGCCTGAGGGTCCCCAGGACCCAGCTGTGGCCCGAGGGGCCTGCGGGGCACGTGGGGCTGGGCCGAGGCTGGCCTCTCTGACCAGGGGTGTGGTGGAGCCCAGGCGGCGAGGGGTGCCGCCAGCTGAGGAGCGAAAAGCTACCCAGGAAGGGCCACCCGGTCAGCGGGGGCTCGGGCGGGGCCAGGGCGGGGTCCTGAAGGCCCCTACACTTGGGAGAGGAGCTTGCTCGTGGCAGGTGGCTCCAGGTGCCCAGGGCCTGAGGCAGTCGGGCTGCCACTGGGCCGGGCCTCAGCATTCCCGTGCACATGGACACTCCCCCACACACACCCCAGGGCACACATCTGTGCTCTCAGCCCCCGGGGACTGGCAGGCCTCGAGGCCAGCTCTCTCGCCCAGCCCTGACCTGTGGAACAAGGCCAGGTCCCTCCTTCAGCCACGTACCCACGACACTCCTGCTAGGACCGTGCCAGCGCCGCATTTACCACGTGGAACAGGCCCGCCCACACCGCACCTGTGACAACGCTGCGTCTGGCCTCCGCTGCCCAGGGTGGGAGTCCAGGGCCAGCTGCACGGCGCCTCTGCAAAGCTGTCCTGCCTCGGCACTGCCAAGGCCTGGGCAGGGGTGGACAGAGAGGACGTGCCCTGTCCTCTGCACCCCCAGCTGCAGCACGGTGACACCAGCATTTCTGGGGACAGCAGAGCCGCGGCCCTGGAGGCGCACGCACCGGTATCCTCCCCAAACCGAGAGCGCGCCCGGGCAGAGCGTCCGGCTGGGCAGACGCAGGATCTGTGTGTGCTAAGGAAGCTGCGCAGCATGACTGACAGGGTGGCTGTGGCCCAGTCTCCCGCTGGGCGGACACGTCCCATGAGAAGGGCACTCAGTGCGCCTGCACGCACAGGTTATGCCGCTGGCACTGCCCTGCGGTCACGGTGAGCCTGCCAAATGCTGCCGAGGCCATCAAGGGAGGCGCAGGCCTGGGACGGCCGGGGGTGGACAGAGGCGCGCTCACTCAAGGCCGGCACTGGGCGCTGGGCTCAGGGCTGAGCGGTTTCTGACACAAGCAATGCAGGAGCCCTGCTAGAAGCTGACAGCCTCACGTCGGGGTGCAGGCGCGGAGTGACCGGCGCTGAAGCAGATGGGAACGGAGACCGCGGTGCACGGGAGCCCCTGCCCACCCCGGCGCCAGGGCTCCTGCTGCCCGACCATGCAGGCTGGAGACGCTCGCCTGCTCCCAGGGGAGGCGCCTGTCGGGGAGTGGGCGGTGCTGAGCTCCCGTGGGGCCAGGGGCTCCTGCACACTCTTCCCTCTACGAGCCCTTGGAACAGTGGGAGCCGGGGGGGCACTGGACCTGGGCCCACAGCTCCCGCAGACCAGCCGCAGGGAGGGGGCTGGAGCCCCCACCTCAGAAGCTGGCAGGCCACGTGCATGGGCGTCCCGACACTGCCCCAGGCCCCCTGCTCCAGGCGTGCACCCTGGTCTGGTGCTCGTATCTGGGAAAACCGCCGGAGCCCCTGCAGACGCCCCCAACCTCGCACACGCATTCTGAGCAGGCCCCGGGAACACGGCACTGACTCCTACAGGACAGACGGCCCCGGCTGTGGGTCAGCTGCCAATCAGCACGGCACACGGGCCATGTGCGCGTCACAGTGCCTGCTTCCCTGGGCCACAGTGTGCCAGGACACGAGGGGAGTGACTCTAAAGTATGTGCACACACATGCACATGCAGACACACATGTACACAGGCGCACACACACGTGCATACTCACATATACACACACAGGCACACACATGTCGACACACACGCACACACAGATACAAACACATACACACAGGCACACACATGGAGACACATACACACAGAGATACACACACACACACGCACACACACATACACAGATACACACATACACAGGCACACACATGGAAACATACACACATACATGCAGCACACACACAGGCACACACAGGCACACACAGATACATACAGGCACACATACACAAAGACACACACAAACACACACGCACACAAGACACATAGACACACACATACACACAGGCACACACTTGGAGACACATACACACAGAGATACATGCACACACAGGCACACACACATACACACAGATACACACAGGCACACACATGGAGACACACACACATACATGCAACACACACAGGCACACACAGATACATACAGGCACACATACACAAAGGCACACATATGGAGACACACATACACAGAGGCACACACACAGACACAGACATACACACACACAGGCACAGGCACACACACAGACACACATATACACACATACACAGACACACATGGAGACACATACACACAGGCACACACACACACACAGGCACACATGGAGACACACATACACACAGGCACACATACACACACACACACACAACGCAAGGAGCAGGACGAGCCTGTGCTCATCAGCACTGCAGGACGCGGTGCTCACAGATCTCACTCACAGCCTGGCCTGGCCGTGGCAGGGGCTCCAGGCCCCGCCCTTCCCAGCAGTGTCCCCTGTGCGGTCAGCAGAGCTCTGTCGCTGTCCCCACCCACCAAGCTCCAGGCCCCTCGCAGTGAGGCCATCACGTAACGACGGATCACCGGGCACGGGCGCCCTCACGATGCCACGACCCAGGGCACCTGGCGGGAGCCACGTCCGGCAGGGGCCCCTCCCTCCAGCTCGAACGTCCTGGGCCGGCACCCATGGCCTCTGCTCTGCCCACCCCACCGCCGGTTCACCAGACGGAGCTGACGCGGCACAGCACCGAGCGCACGCGCTGGGGCCCACGCCGGTGTGGCCACGGCACTTACCATCGTCCAGGTACAACTGGTCCAACTCCTCAGGTTCACGCTTGACCGTTACAGGAATAGGGGCCAAATTACTACTGTCCTCACGCACCTCTGGCAGTGGCCGTGGCCCAGCGGCTGCAAACTCACGTCCTTGAACCTTCGGCAGGCGGTGCTGTGGGTGGCCGGTCACCGGAGGGAGGGCCTGGCCGTGGGGCTCGTGGGTGGCGGGCGGAGGTTGACAAGAGGGGCTGTTGGGACAGAGTGAGTGCTGGTGACCAAGGGAGCGGCTACTGCTTGGAGGAGGACTCACCTGCGGCTGCAGGACGGGGGCCGGCTGCTCGGGTGGCCCAGGGTGCACGGCCAGCGCTCCCGGCACCTCCTGGACGGGGGGCACCTCTCCGGCCGGCTGCTGCAGTCCCAGGTGGCCGAGGCCCTTGGTGTAGGCAGCGGAGGACAGGTCGTGGAGCTTCGGGCTGGTGAGGGGCGGCGCTGGCATCAGGGAGCCCCGCGGAGGGCAGGCGGGGAAGCCGGCCAGCAGGCAGGAGCCGGGGTCGGGCGGCGCGGGGAGCTGCTGGCTGTAGCAGGGCCTCGGGAGCGGGCTCAGGCCCTGGCTCGTTGGTCCACAGGTCAGCGCAGGCTCGTAGTCATCGGTGGGCTCCGTCTTTATAATGGGAACTGCTAGGACGAGAAAAAGTCCACTCAGCGCAGGCTGCAGACGGCTCACGGGACAAAGCGAACCCCGAAGGGGCCTCCGCCCCCAACAGTGCTGAGTCATGGGCCGTGGAGCCCGCACGGGAGCCACCCCGGGCCGACTGCGGCCGAAGCCCACACGGCACACGGCGGCAGACGTGGGGACCCGGAGGCACTGCTACTGCTGCTGCTGCCAGAGCCCAGTGACCCCGAGCACGCCACGGACGGCCGCCGGCCACCAGCGAGGCACACGGAGCCGGCCGTCATCACTAAGCAGGCCCCTCCCGTGCCGGGAGCGCCTCCTAGCCCTGTCTGCTCCTGGCAGCTCTGCCCCACAGCACCTGCCCCAGGGCCCTAATGAGCTCCGCCAGGCTGGGGCCTGGCACAGCCGCCCCAGGCTCCTGGCTCAGGGCCGGGGCCCTTGCACCCGGGGGTGTGACCACATGTGGCCCAGGTGCCCCACGTCCAGAGAAGAGAAGCCTCCCACGGAGCGCTCTGGCCAGCATGCCGACACATCTGTTCCCCATCAGGCTGGGTGCCTTGCGTCACCCACAGCTGTGAACAATACACACGGCGTCTTCCAGAAGCTCGGGTGCAGTGGGAAGGCCTGTGCTAACCAGAGACGCCCCTCACCGGGAAGTGCCGATGGGTCCCGGCGACAGAGGCTGCCGGGCACACCCGGCAGTAATGGCTGGGGCCCCGCCATGCTGTCCCCCGCACCCGCCTCCTGGTCCCTGCTCACCGGCCCTGCACTTGGACAGTGGGCAGCAGTGAGGCAGCAAGCGCTGGCCCCGGGCTGGGGGGGGGGGGCTTCCTGTGCCCCCAGGGACACGTGGAGCCACAGCTGGAGTGAGGATTGCCCATCAGCCTTGCTCACTGCTCAGAGGCTGTGGTGCTGTGGCCCACGGCCAGGCTGCCCTGTGTGCCAAGGCCCTGAAGACAGGCAGTGGTGCTGCGTCCAACCAGTGAGCCACTGGCCGCTCCCAGTGGGACCCTCAACTGGGGCCCCTCCCCATTCAGTCAGGGGAGCGGGCCGGCCCGCAGAGGCTGGACCTGGCGGACGGGGTGCCCGTGTGCTGGATGACGGCCTGTGTGCTGGCTCTGACACAGGTGGGAGGGTGTATCCTCAGTGGCCTGCGCCCCTGGACGCCTGCAGAGCCAGCTCTGGCTAGCAGAGGAGGGGTGGGGCGTGCTGGCCACACAGGGCAGGCAGGGGCTGCTCATGGCCGGGCCAGGCCGCCGCCCGTCGTGGAGACCCCCGTGGAGTCCCTGCTCCAGCCGTGCCCTCCAGGAGGCCTGATCGGTGGGGCCTCCACGGCTTCCCTCAGCCCAGCCTGGCCACGGGGCGGCGGGTGCCCCTCCTGGGCTGGGTCTCTTGCCAGGCAGACAGGGAGGGGCCGGCTCCCCGCGAGGCTCGCCAGACCGCTGTGCGAGGGGAGGGGCGGGGACGGCTGCCAAGAGCGAGATGGACGTCCTCACACTTAACAGGAAACAGCGTCGTAACCCAATTCATCTCCCAGCATGGGTAGGCGGCCGGCGCCCAGCCCTGGCTGGGGCCTCCCCTTCCCCAAGCAGGGCCTGTGAGCACTGGAAGGCCCTCTGTCTGGAACTCAGGGCTGCGTCGGCGGCGAGCCCGCCCCCAGCTCTGCGGCTCTGCAGGGGGCGCCCCAGGAGCCGCCCTGCGTCCAGGCTGGCGAGGCCTGCACGTGGTCAGCTAGCTGGTCACTGTGGGCACAGCTGTCGCTGAAAACAGCCCCAGGGACGTGAATACGGCAAAGGCCAGGCTCTAAGTACGGGATCGCCCTCCCGCTGGATTCCCAGCCGGGCCCAGACTCCGGCGCGCGACCACCGTCCCATCACAGGCAGTGAGGCCGGTCCAGGCCACCGACGCCGGAAGCCACAGAGGCTGGGCACCGCGCGGACCAGGCGCGTCCGCCTCGCAGTGAGAGCGGTCGCTTTGCCGCCTGTTCAAGGCCACCTGGCGCCCACGGCACTGGTGACGCAGAGGGTCCAGGGTGCCGGGGCACCAGCGACTCTTTCCACAGGAACAGCGCGTCCTGCGGTGCTGCCGGAGCCTGGCTTCCTACCTACAGGTGCAGAGCAAACCCAGGACCGGCACGCTGGGCTGCGCCCCGCGGTGGGCAGGGGCCCTGCGGCACAAGCACTGCCCCTCCCTGCCCGTCTCCAGGGCCTGTGCTGCCAGCCCTGGGGGGCGCCGTGTGACAGGAAGCCCCTGGGGCTGAGGCGGGGCAGCAGTGAGACCCTAGCCACACCCCTGCCCTGTCCTCTGGGACGGGCATCAGGCATGTGGTTACGGACGGAACACGCCCTGGGCTCTGAACGGCCAGTCCAGGGCTGGGCCCGGAGACAGTGCTGGCCCCCTGGGAGACACCTGGGGGCAGCACCCTGGGCTCCCGGGCCAGGTGCACACAGCATGACCCAGAGCCTGCAGCCAGAGCTTCCTGGGCACCCGACACCCCAAGCCTGGTCCTGTCCCCCACAGGGCAAGGGTGGGCACGGCGAGGCAGGCCAGCTGCCTCTCCCAGCCGTCGCCCCAGGCAATGCACCTCTCCCCGGGGCCTTCGTGGTGCACAGACGTAGGTCACGGCAAGTGCCCCACGCAGGTGTCAGCCCCCGCCTGTCCACGCCACGCCCGCCTCAGGCCCTTCTGAAACCTCCTGTGTGGCCACAGGCAGCTGGGGTTTCACAAACCATTGCTGAGGCCCCCAGCGCCGCAGGGCCACACCGCTGAGGCTGCCAGAGGGCAGGGCCAGCCCTCAGCGCTGCAGGGCCAGCCCCCAGCACCCCAGGGCCACAAGCGGAGCCTTCAGCTCCGCGGCTCGCCCAGCGGACGTCACAGACGGGCTCCTAGTGCCAGGCCCCTAGCGGAGACCAGGCGCCCGCCCTGTGCGAAAGGACAGCTGTCCCCACGTCTCCCTCAACCTCCCTGGGCCGCGTGGTGCAGAGGCAGCCGGCGCCTGGGCCCCTCTCGCCTACCCCCTCCCCAGCCCCAGGCCCTTGTTCCTGTGCACCGAGGACCCGGCTTGGCCGCAAGACCCTGGTCTGTGACCCGACGAGGAGGGGCCTGGGGCAATCCTGCGTCCATATGCGGTGGCCATGCGTGAGCCAGGCTCTGTCCATGGAGAAAGCAGGAAGGCTGCAGGTCAGCTCTCCCAGCAAACCTCGCTGGCCTGTGTCCCCGTCTGGGTCTGGCGGAGCCCCCAGGGCCGCCCCCAAAAGACTCAACAGGGACAGAAGAGCCCCAGGCCCCCGGCACACACGCAGCAGACGCCTCCCTGAGGGCACAGCCGCAGCTCAGGGCAGGGCAGCCGCAGGGCGCTGTCTGCCAGGCCATCTCCCTGGACATGAGACAGGCAGCTGGCCCCGCCCACCACGGACACAGCAGTGAGGCGTGTGGCACCCAGCAGCTCCCCGCTCCCGACCTGCGTGGTGTGGGCGGGGTCAGGCGAGCAGCAGCGCCGTGTCCTTCGGAAGCCTGGAGGCGCGGGGGCCCAGGTCTCAGGGTGCCAAGCGTGGTGGCGGGAGGCTGGGCCGGGCCTGCGACCTCCCTGCTCACCGCGCCGCTGAGCGACCCCAAACGCCTCAGCTTGAATTACTTCACCAGGTGCGTCCTGCGCGGGAACAAAAGCCGTCTGTTCCAGGCGGGGCCTGGGAAACAAAGGCGGGATTGTCCCGGCTCCCTGCCCGCACTGCGTCAGCGTCCACAGCCAGAGCCGTGACTGCAGCCTGGGGCTGTCCAAGGGCGGAGGGGCTGCAGCCACAGGCCGGGGCGCGGGGGACCCCGGCCCAGGGTGATCAGGCCAGAGGCGGGGCTGCGCGCTCCATCCGTCCTTGCGGGCACCTGCTCTAGGGTTCCTGGGGTCAGAGACTCAGGGCTGACTTCCCTAAGGCCCACACGGCCGACCCCGCCCCTCCTAGGAGCCTGACACCGGGCGGGAGCCAGGCCCCCACCCAGACGCCGGCCACGAACGAGGGGGCCGGTCTTGCTGTCTGTGGGGCACCAGCCCACGGCTCTCCTCCAGGGGACAGCTTCGGAGACTCCGCCGCTGACCCGGGCAGCTGGTGCAGAGCTGGTCAGCACAGGCCACACGGCCAGAACCGCACGACAGGGTCGCTCCCAGCAGCTGTCAGGCTGCCCATGGAGAGCAGTGTCCTTGCGAGCAGCTGCGTGTCCAGGGCTCACGCCTCTGGTAGCCCCCAAGGTGGGACACAGGGGTCGCCTCTCCCCGGGGTCTTTTTTTTTTTTTTTTTACAGACGAGTACACAGTGAGAGACAGAGAGAAAGGTCTTCCTTTGCCGTTGGTTCACCCTCCAATGGCCGCCGCGGCCGGCCCGGTGCACCATGCTGGTCCGATGGCAGGAGCCAGGTGCTTCTCCAGGTCTCCCATGGGGTACAGGGCCCAAGCACCTGGGCCGTCCTCCACTGCACTCCCTGGCCACAGCAGAGAGCTGGCCTGGAAGAGGGGCAACCGGGACAGAATCCGGTGCCCCGACCGGGACTAGAACCTGGTGTGCCGGTGCCGCAAGGCAGAGGATTAGCCTAGTGAGCCACGGCGCCGGCCCCCGGGGTCTTCTGACCGCAGCTGCTTCAGAGCTGGGCGGCCCCCGACCCGCAGGTCCCCAGGCAGAGCCCCCAGCCCGCGTCCCGCTCGGCTGCAGCGTGCATGGTCCTTCCTGCCCTGGCTGACCACACCCCCGCTGTGGCTCCCAGACCCCTGCAGGACAACACGCCCAGCTCAGGGTCTGTCCTCGGGTCACACGGTGCACACGCCGGCGCCTGTCCCCTTGCTGTGCCCGCCCTCATATCCGAAGTCTGTGGGGCCATTTCCCCCTCACATCCTGTCCTGTGTCTGCACACGCAGGGCCCAAGGAAGCTCATGGTGAGTGTGCACACGTGTCCACACGGATGTGTGTGCATGTGTGCTAGTGTACACATGTACACACGTATGTGCCTGTGTGCTAGTGTG